GTGGTCGAAAAAATTATCGAACAATTGATAGTTTCTATAAACGTACGACTGGATGTTTTAATTGTGGTCAAGATCATGTTGTTCGTGATTGCAAAATGTCTCCAAATTTTCAATAACTGGACCACGCAGTAGCAGTGTTTCCAGTCAATTGATTAAGCCATCAATATCTTCTCCTGTTTAGATCACGATTCATGTTAATAATCAACCCACTGAAGCCATCCTTGATACAGGATCCGCGATCTCAATTATTCATTTAAATTTTCTTAAAATCATTATTCACAAAAAACTTTATTTACAAAACTCCTACATGTCAAACAGCAAATTCAACACCTCTCAACGTTATCGGTCAAATAGAATTAGAATTAACAATTAAACATATATAAACTTTGGTGATTGTCTATGTTGCAACAAATTTAATCACATCAATTCTATTAGGTAATGCTTGGATCAATTTCAAACTATGTTCACCTGTTTGGTGATCAGAAACAATGAATAGAATTGAAGGTTCATCAAAGAGCTATAAAATTCATCATTTTGCTAATATTTTGTCTTATCTACTTATTCTCAAACTGAACCCACTGTCATAGGACGAATTATTAGAATAATGACTAAAGATGTGTTACTTTGTTACTAGCTTTAAGATTTCAAAATTCAATCGAAACTTCATGAATCTAGTACGAATATGTCGATCCCAACATTCTCTTTCGTTGAGGTATGATTCAATGGAGTTGGTCAAAAAGAAATACTAGTAGACTGATTTGACGTCTTACACGTTGTCCCGTTCCCCTTTACTTATGAATGTTTTATTGCGGTAGCAATGATTCGATATGAGATTTTGTTCATATAGAAGAAACGATCCATGACTCGTTATGATCCAAATATCGAAAACCACATTAGAAAACCTGTTAGATTAAGGTGATAAAACATCGCCAACATAAGTGGCACAAAATCAGTGATAAGAAATGTATGCAAATATATAGGTTGGCTGTCAAGTATCATTCGATCACATATACGAATTGCGATTAAGATTAATTGTCTTATCGTTGGTCAATCAACGATAAACCAATTGATCTTGATTGCATATTCGTATATGTAATCGAATGATATTTGTCAGTCCAGTTTACATATTTATATACGTTGTTTATCAATCATTTCGTGTTTCCTCGTTTTTGTGATGTTTTTTTACATTAATCTACAAGTTTTCTAATGCAATTTTCGATATTGGATCGTAATAGGTCATGGATCATTTCTTTTAGACGAACAAATTTACATGTTGAGTCATTGCTCCCAATATAAATCATTCGTAGTTAAATTTACTATGATTCAGTATATGCTATATTTATTGTCATCTATGTAAAAAAAGAATGTACTTTTTTCTTACTAAATCATGTCACTTAATATAATAAAACGACATTAATTTTGTTTTACAAATAACCTTGAGAAAAGTTGATTATTTATTTTAAAAAGACAATCAGAGATAGTCATTGATCCAGTGACTGAATGAATGAAAAGCAATTAGAAAAGGACATTGCTTGATTCTATAATAATCCTAACATGACGAAGATCAACTTCATGTACGCCACTGTGTTGCCCTTTTTTTTTCGAAATCGAATTTCATTTCAATACTTTCACCCATTGAATAATATATATTATACTATTCGTGCCTATCAATATAAAGTTTATTTAGCACAATTGTGTATATAATATAGTCACTATAACAAGAAATCGTTCTTTTCTTTTCTTCAAAACTAAAAAAATTAAAAATCGAAGCACTTCATGAATATCATTTTTCTAGTCAATGCGACCAACTAATTCGTTTTTTTTCACTTTTCGAAGAATTGTTTGTATCGAGCAAGGTCAACGAAAAACTCATCTGTGTTAGATCAACATAATGCATACACATACGGTCTTAAAACATGAATGATTAAACTAATGCAAACGAGTCTTCGCCTCTGACATACGCAGAACTTACAAAAAGAAATGTAAAAAAAAATAACAGCGTCTTTTTTTTCTCTTTCTGTCACAGCATCGAAGAACAGAATAAAAGTAGACGAGCGAAGAAAAAAAAAGCAAAATCATCGTAACCTGAAATGAATTTTCATTTTTTTTTCTTCTCTTCACATGAACAAATGTGTCACTGTAAACGCGCCGTACCAGCTGACAACCATAGTTGATGTAAGAGTAAAGAAACGATGAGTAATTTAAGGACTTAATATCTAACATGTTTAATATTGTATTTCTATATTATATTGTGCAATTTACTTTTACTATTATGCTTGCTCATGATGATGGTAAATCTAGGCCACAACAATATCAAAGTTTTTTTAATGGACCACAAAGTTTTTATCAACAACATCAAATGACGAATATCGATAGTCAAAAATGGTATTAT